CACCGGTTCTTCTTTTGCATACACAAGTTTGTAGACCTTATTAAAGTATGGTTCACCTTGATCCTACTTTTTAAATTTCATTGTTTTTTTTTACCTGTTAAGATTCTTCTGGGAATTTTATTCTTATTCTGATATATGACATAAATAATGATGAATTTAGTTTCTGATACAATTGAGAATATAGAATACACTGCCACACAGAGGGCCCCAGAGAAAGGAACTTTGCCATTTTAAACTATAAATTAGCTTCTTATGCTTGCAGGTGGGTTGGTGGGTAAATGAGTCAAAACCATGAATTAACTTATGGCTAGACTTTCTTTTGTTTTTTTTTTCTACATGATTCTATGTTTCCAGGAAGTTATTTTTTTTATTCCCATAACTTAATGAATCTTTAGTGTTCTTATGAATGAACATATCATTAGATTTTTTTTTTGCACATTGTTGGAACTGTACTTGTAATGGTTTAATGTTTTATTTTTCTATTGAATCCAGCATAATGGCTTATATCTACTTAGAAGCAGGAGTAATGATAACGATATGACTTGACAGAATTAACATAGATTAGCAGGCTTTATCTTGGCTTGCCCTACAGAACTTATTAACCAATCAATGCACTCATGTATAAGACACGTGCATGCTATGTGCACAGGATCTGAAGTCATTTGATTAAACAAATTATGATGATGTACCATGTCCGGTAAAGTCATACTTGACTAAAATACAACATGAAGACTTCATTATTTTACATTTCACTTGAATAGGGGTTCAAGGAACTATCCAAGGAAACACCTGCCAAGCTAACATAGGGTTTAGTGATGTCAAAATATGTTAAATCAACTCTTTAAAAGGAAGTGGAGAAAATAGAGGGGGTGCCAGCAAGGGGGAAAAAATTGACAGGAACTTGATGTTTCAGCAACATTAACATAAACAGAATTCTGCAAAATATTTAATATTGGATCAAATAGGGCAGATTGCTATAAGCGGTCTTTTGAAGGTCTTAACGCTTAGCAGGCTGTAATCGTGACGTCACTACTACACCTATGTCACGTCACTACCCCCCTCCTCCCCGTCTTTATGATCGTTATGGTTATAAAACATGAAATTTGATTTCCTGTGGGAATCATCCCAACTGGAAAAAATGTTTATTCCTTTTAAGTTGTTCTTCTAATGTAATTTGATGGATGAAAGAATTTAATATTCTGCATCGTCTGCTAGGTTGTGTCGTGTAATCTGCTAGGACAGAATGGCACAAGACTCAAGTTAACTCCAGTAGCATCAAATACACTGCAGATCTTGCATTAACTGAAATGCCAACTGTGATTAGCTGCTAATTTCTTAAGACATACATATGACTCATTGGCAATGCGTTTTGATATGATATTAAGCAGCTAATTGAGTTGGAAAGATTTAAGTATATTACTTTTAAATTTCCCGTAACTTTTCCTCTAATCGCAAGGCTTCAATTAGTTTTCAAAAATAATGCTAGTAAGTGTACTCACGGGTGAAATCAACTGGAAAAAATGGATTCTTTAAACAATGTCCATCAAATTATATCTTTATCAAATGCTTCCGATGAAATATTATGACAAATAGAAAATTTTGTCTTGCGATTGTGTATTTCATTGCAAATCAGATGTGTTAGTTGCAAAAGGAAAAGAATCTCAACAAATTTTATGTCTCCTATGTAATTAAACTATTTTAAATTAACCATGACGCTGGAAATAGACCATGAAGAAATAAGTGGACCCCGAAGCTGAATAGTGACCGATTTACACATCCACTTGACAGCCCTGAATATGTGTTTAGTGTAGGTTTTAACAAAGTTCAAGTGGTTCCTTTGGGGCATGCAGTTCAAATTCCAAAATTTCTTTTATTGTGGTTGGTCTTCAAAATGCTCTACTGCCACGATAGAGGATTAGATTATTACAACTGGCTGTATCTTAACTTCATTGTCCCTCAGAAACGAAGTTTAAACGTGTCTTTGACAATAAACTGTCCGACCACTCCTTCAGGCATATCTTCTTTTAGTCTGTGCAATGTCATTAACCCTTCGTTTCAACCACTGTTGTTCTGTGGACACATCAATCCTTTCCTTCACTCTATTACTGTTTATCGGTCACTTATCCTTTCACAGGTCCTTTTAGCTTGACTTTTAATATTTTTAATCAGTATCAAGTGATTTCTTTAAATCAGTGACAGATCCAGGAATTTGAAATAGATTGCACCCAGGGATAATGGAGAATCTAGTCCCCAACCATGGGGTGGCGCTGAGGTAAGAAAATTTATTTATGATGGCCGGAAATGGCAATCTCAGACTTAAATCTGAATATAATTTTTTTTTCTTTATTTTTTTTCATAATTTTGAAAAATTTATGGGGCCCATGCTGGTTGTTCCCCCTTGAATCTGCCTCTGTAGATCAATAAAACATTTTGAAAGCAGTTTCCTCACTTACCATCATTGGTATCGCCCTCAATCTCAATATCAACCACTGCTGGAGAGCCAATCCTGCCACCCATTGGGTTAGACAGCTTAACCTGGAAAATCTCTGCATCTTCGTAGAGGGAGTCGTCGATTATTCTAATGCGGCAGAAAGCCAGGCTCCTGTCTCTTATACACATCTAGATGTGTATAAGAGACAGGCATTATACAGCTTTTTGTAAATCAAGTATTTAATGATCGCCAATCAATTTAATCAATCAACTAAATAAAATAAAGCCATGAGCAAAACTTTGGATCATATGCTGTTAAGTTTACCTTGGAGTTATGACACTAGCAAATAAAGTTAAATTATTTGGCCACCTGGTCAAAACCTTCCCAGGCTTGTAGAGCCTACCTAGGGACTGAAACCAAGGAACTTTAAAGTATGCATCATTGGCAAATTTCAAAAAAAATATTTGTCCAGAGGGAGTGTTTTGTCTGCAATGCAAGCATGGGGGTTAGGGAGTGGAAAGTAATTTATAGCCAAATATTTTTAATAATTTATTACTTGGTATAGGCCAGTCATCTGGTTTCATGACCAGACATCAATATCTGTTCATAAAGCAGTGCATTATATTAGAGGCTAGCAAAGGCCAGAAGGTCAGATCTCCCTGGTCAGAAGCTCCCCCCCCCCCTTAAGGAAAATAAATGACTATTGGTGAATGTCTAGCTTCTGTTAAAAGATAACAACTGACAGCATAATATTGTTTTGGTTTAAATCAGGAAACGACAATTCTCACAATTAATCTAATTCAATTTTAAAATTACTTTAAAATTTTATAAATACAGGGGTAGGCCTATAGGTCTCCCTGCATTTAAAGACCACTTTTTGGACCAGGGTTTTAGAGCTTAGGTCTCTAATTAGAATCCCTCTAATTGTGGCTGTGACAAGCCAAACCAGTCACTCGTCGCAAATCATGTTTCAGAGAAAATGGCCAAAACATGCTGGAATGTCAAATTTTTAAAAATCTATTTTATTGCACGAAACTAACCTTTATATATCTACACATCATTCTATGCTGTTATTTTCGACATTTTCAATGTTAAAACAATATTTTTTAAGGATTTAAAGATAGTTTCTGCATAAGAAATGCCTGAAATCATAAACTTTGACGGTTAATTTCTCATATATTGTTCTTTAAACAGCTGTGTGGTTAAATGCTTGTAACTTCATAAGGAAATGTCCGATTTGAATGATATTTTTACCATTTTATAGCTATTATTTTACTCTTACTATTCTAACACTGTATTAATAACTCAAAATTGATTTTTGCGACGAGTGACTGGTTTGACTTGTCCTTGCCACAATTAAAGACCAGCACTAAAAGTCGTCTTTAAATATTATGATGTGCATTGGTTATAATATATTTATGTGCATATCACATTATAACAAATTCATTATAGAAAAAATTGTATTAACATCACTTATTGTGGTCTTTAAATAGAGGGAAAATTTTCATAGGGTTCACAAAAACCATGTTCTTTGGTCTCCAATAAGGGGAGTCTAATTGGCAGGAACAGCTTATGATAAAAGACAGACGTTCAACTTTGGCCACAAAAAAGTGGTTTTAAATTGGAGGTGATCTTTAATAGAGGGGGTTTTTATTGGAGGGAGACCCGTACCTCTAAAAGAAGAGTACATTAAAAAGAACAGGGGAAAGTAGGAATGACTGTGCATAAATGTGATTCCATAAAAACAAGTAGGAAAACTTGTAGTCATCTTGTGATTTTAACTTCTTCCATGTACTTTAACAAAATCGTATGAATTCTGTGTTTCAGATTAAGATTTTTATGCAAATTAGGTCTATTTTAAATTTTATTAATAAACAATTTGTTGATTTTTATACTGTAATTTTGTATCACAAAACAGGCTATTACGCCTTCCTGATATGTTATCCTGTATAAATATGTTCAATAAATAAATAATCAGATAAAACTGTTATGGATCATACCAGATATGGTAGAACACATGACCATCAGTTCATCAGTCAAATCTCCAGAACGTCTGATGGGCACGAGCAATTCGCCGACATCCTCGGTCACAGAGTATGGAGAAGCAACATCAATGTAAACAGTGGATTCTAAAAAACAAAAACAACAAAATGAGAAGGAAACAAGTTATGATTAGAAATTTCAGAGAAAGGATGACAGATAATATATTTTATCAAACAATAAAGAAAAATGGAAACCTAACACAGGTTCCATGCCTACACTATCCAAATACTGGGTTCAGACAATTATAAATTTTTTCTATCAGAAAGTTTGTCAGATTTTTTATGCTAGTTTCAGACAAAGCATGTGGCATTTCATGCTTGTTGTAAGTTTGACAAGGCTTTAATCCTTCAGATAAAGTCTTACCAACATTTCTTATCAAGTCTGACACAAGACAAACTCTTAGTGTAGCTAAGATTTACTTAATATACAATCTGGCAGAATGGATAGTGATGCTAGTACTATTTATGGAATTAATAAACTTTATTATTATTAATATTAACAGTTCAATCATTTTATGAATGAATATAATTGCTTTAGCAATGCTAACAATTCAGAATAAATGGGAAAACATATTTAACTTTGTTGGAGTATGAACAAGGACACAGGAATTCATATTGATTTATATGGATGAATTACTGCTACATCGACATTTGACCCCAATTCTATATTACATAGGTTGGGGATAGTGCAGATTCATGTTACTTAATATGAGCTTTGGGAGCAGATTACCTTGGGACTCTACCGATGTCCTGAAGAGTTCAATGTGAAGTTAAAATCAGTACTGTTAAAAATACCATGAATGTACAGACACTTTTTAAGAATTTGGAAAATCTAGAACTTGGCTGAAGTAGATTTTGTATTAAATTTTAACTTTTACTATTAGTAACTACAAAAATATATACAGTACAGACAGTTTTTCTAAATAAACATGAGGCAGGCCCTATATATGATTACATAGAACCATATGTCTGGATGGGATTTGATTTCTTTAGTTTAAAACGAAGATGACACATAATAAATGTAAAGGTCCAGTGGGGTTCTTCTACTTGGTAGTCCTATCCTGGCAGACACCTCTGCTTTTTTCCAAAGAGTGTACTGATTCTTTGACTTGCATATTATTGCACATGGGACTAATAGCAGGCCATGCTTAACTGTCCACATTCATGTTCTTTACACTTTAATGTAAATCATAATATCTAAAGTTCTGTACACTATCAAATTTTGTTTGACAGTATGCCCATATATTGTCATGATGTGCCCATATATAGTCATGATGTGCCCATATATAGTCATGATGTGCCCATATATAGTCATGATGTGCCCATATATAGTCATGATGTGCCCATATATAGTCATGATGTGCCCATATATAGTCATGATGTGCCTATATATAGTCATGATGTGCCCATATATAGTCATGATGTGCCTATATATAGTCATGATGTGCCCATATACAGTCATGATGTGCTCATATACAGTCATGATGTGCCCATATATAGCCATGATGTGCCTATACATAATCATGATGTGCCCATATATAGTCATGATGTGCCCATATATAGTCATGATGTGCCCATATATAGTCATGATGTGCCCATATATAGCCATGATGTGCATATACATAGTCATGAGGTGAAGTCATCATGACCATATTTATGCCAATATACATATTTATTTATGTCACATGTTTTTGTAAAAAATTATTTGATAGTCTGAATGGGGTTTATCATGTAATTTCTAAATTATCAAATGATTGTTCTTTACCGTCTTCAGGGTCAAGGATGTTTATGAAAGCCACTTCAGGGAACTCAAGGGCGCCCATGACAGGATCGTGTAGGCGAACACTGAACACCTCAGACTGTTCAAACTGGTTATCATTATAAATCTTAATGCGCATGAAGCCTTCAGTCTGTCCTGGGTTGAATTGGACTTGTTTTCCAGACTTTCCATGGTAATCTTCACCCTTAATGGCTTGTCCATCTTCCGTCTGGATACCTAAAGACAGAAAATTACAAATAAACCAGTTTTAAAAATCAAAATCAAATTCATTTAGCTGTTGAATACAAGATATAGGGAGTCAAATGGCCGAGCGGTTAGCAGGGGCCCCGCAAGCTACAGCCAAAATATCGGCGCTGGTTTAAATGGCTCGCTCGCCTATTGTTTTGTGGTAGAACAAATTAAATTCACTTCAATTCAGTTTTATTCATCATCAAATTGATGGCAATTTACAAATAAAGTTATTTTTCAGAAAGTATTCTTGGATAAGGACTATAAACCGTAGGTTCAGTGTATACAATATCTCGTGTGCACTGTACAGGACCCAGTACACCATTCGAGACGAGTAAGGGGATACCCCAGTGTACTGGTAGAGACAGCCCCTGTGATGGACTACGAGAGTTGCTGGTACCGGGTGACTGGGTACAGCACAGACACAAAGGGACCATTAGAGGTGAAGAAAGTCATTGATTGAGTTCCTAGTCCACATATCAAGCGCCTTGAACACCTTGTTTGATGGATACTGGCACTACTGTATATAAAACTACACTATTATTATTATCCTTACCAACAAAAGATGTTTCTCCAAGATAACCTCTACGCTTAAGTTTCACAGTGAGACTGCCGTCGGTTTCGTTCACTTTGTAGTATTCAGAATCCAATGAAATCCAGGCCCAGTTAAGACGGAAAGGTTGATTAGACAAAGTATTTCCACCTGTATAAAACAATAACAACATAAATTTTAGTAAGTTTTCTAATGTTTTGGTTTTAGCACTCAACAAGATGACAGCCAAAATATAGCCACTTCCATCCATTTTTCAAAGAGTTTGGAAGAGAAACTAACTTTTGTTTTTACTTGGCTTACTCAATGTTGATTTTTTAGCATAACACATGGGTATAATATACAATTCAGCACAAACAAAATTAAACTTAATCAATGTCGTAGCCATGATTTTCAAACAGTGCGGGACAATATCATGGTAGACCCACTTTACGTGCAAAATAATTCAAATAATGTGGACCCATTTTCTTAAAAGTTAACCCATTTTAGGCTAAATATGAAAAATCTGGACCAATTTTTCAAAAAGTAACTCGCTTTATACATAAAATTGCAAAATTTGGACAATTATTTCGGACAATTTGTGGACCAATTATTTGCGGACCATTAGAAAAATTGTGTGGGACTGTTGCAACTGTCCCAATAGCTGGCTCTGCATTGAACATAACATATGTTTAAACAGCACAGCTATGCTATCATTTATCACTTACAAAAAGTATGAAGTCATTACAGAGAAAAAAAAATTGATTTTTTTTTTTCCCCCTTGAAAAACTGGTTTATAAAGTGAAATGTTAACTCAATTGTATCGTGCCAAGTAGTACAAAGCTAAAACTGTACACTTGCGAATTAGACTTTATCTGGTTTTTGCAAAACAGAAATCCCAGGCCTATTAACACTTAAATCCTACCCACATGTAGATGCATAAATACATGCTTTCCTTCCATGAATGAGATGGCCTCTAGGAATTGAACTGACATGATAATTAACATAACTTAATATGCCTTGGCTGGTTAGAATTAAGAAATTGGAAAAATTGTCCTAAAGTTAAAGATTTCAAATATAATATATATCTGTCTCTTATACACATCAAATTGCAATTCACCTACACCAGAGGTTGAAACATGAAACTTATTTGATAGCCCAAAATGATCGATGGGAATATAATTTGAACGGAAAAAATCAAGGAATTGGGAAGTTTATAAAAGATACAGGAAGGATATGTGAGAACATTTTGATGATAGCGGTTTATATGTCACCTGTCCTTTATGGGACCTGGATGCAAATACAGGAAGCATTGGATGAAAAGTGAATCTTAAAGATACACATCATTTAGGTCCACTGTCTGGGTTGGCTAAAAAATCTCAATATTTGAATTTTTTATTTGTATATTAAAAAAATACATTTATCATTGGTTTTCTTAAAGAATGTAGAACTACAGAAAATGTTTTCATCAGCCAAAAAATAATATTCTTAATATTATTTTGCATACTTTTAAATTGGCTGAGAATCAATTAAGGATTTTTGTAGTGCTTTAAGTGTTACTGAGAATTAAATTGTTATGATCTGCCATTTTGTGATAAACGTAGTTGATGTTTTTTAAAAAGAAATTCAATGTTAATTAATTTTCAAGTTTATTTTTCTAGATTTCAGGTAAATATGAAAAAGTGTTGTGAAAAGAATATTATTTAGAATTCAAAATTGACAGATTCATTAGTTAATAACAATTGATTCATTACAAAAAATTATAGTTTAATTAATTTTATTAGTTGAGTATGATTATGCCACATTTGAGCATAATTCTGTTATCTTCCAGTGAACAACATTCCTAAAATATACAATACATTACAATGTTTTAGTGGGCTAGTGTAGATCTCTATATTAGAGAAATATATCTGATATATTCAACAACCAGACGGATTTGACAATTTCACTTCATAACTAGTATCAATAGTTGAATGGTGGGTATCAAATTGCAAGTAGGAACCTATATTATTGACCTTCTTTAAATCTAAAAGTAAAACTGGGTTTTTTAACCTATTTATTTTTTTTTCTAAATATGGACTCTATTTGCCCTTTATATTATATTCCCTATAGATTATACAAACAGTTTCTTGGTTTGAGGTTATAAATAAAGTACATACTGTAGATTATACCAGGGTTTTAGGTAGGACGGAATAAATCAGTATTTTGCATCCTTTTTGCTATACAGTAACATCTACAGTAAATTCCAGTAGTTTTATGTCTACTCAGTTGCAATAGCACAAATAAAATTGCAAGAATTAAAATGTTATATCCATATATTATTTAAGCCTATACAAGGCCTACATTTGATGAATTGATTATAAAGTATACTGGATCTAAGCAACAGTTTCTGTAGTCTGCCTTGAAAAAGCTAAAAAATGAATGGGGATAAAAAAAAATTGGGGAAGGGATAAGGGATAACTTTGGCTAATACATCTTTTAAAATAATTTATTGTTAATTTCACTATTCTTATATTTACTATGTGGCTTTTTAAGTTGTATGCATTATTCAAGTGGTTTCTTGTCCTAATATTTTGAAAAAAGAATGAGGGCACAAAAATAAAGGATATAAAAAAAAATAACTGTTGAGTTAAATGTGTATGCATTTAATCATGTAGTTTGTAATTATATTCCCGGTTATTGGAAACAGAATCATTCATTCACAATGTGCAACCTCACAGCACCACGGGATGCATTCCCAATACTACAGCTGAATCAGCTCTACCCAATTCCACTCCAAATTATTCACAACTACCAGGTACCGTACCTTTTTATCCATATACTATACTTATTACATTATTTTTTTTTGTACTGTTCAAAAAAAGTTAAAAACTACTGATAAAATCTCAAAATCCGATACTGTTACACTGCAGACAAAATAGGGCAAGCATCCAGTATCATGTATCGACTATGATATGTGGACTAATATGACAAACACTTGATCATATTTCATATTAATTTTATATACATGTTATATAACTCCAGAGTCATATACAATGCTTTTGTGTACTAGCACCTATATTAACAATGGTCAATTTACATTTGCTTACTTCCAAAGTAATAACTAATTGAAATCTAGAAGAAAATATTTTGCATGTCAAGCGGTTGATCATATTTCTAATTAATCTTATATACCTATTATATGACTCCAGAGTAATAATGAAATGGTTTTGTGTACTAACACCTGTCATAGATTTAGATTTAATAGATATAGATAACAATGGTCAATTTACATTTTGTTTATTTTTAAAAACTTGTGGAATGATAGAAACAATTTGAAAATATAATGCGAGTGCCAATATCATAGAGTTTCTGCCAAGGAAACTTAAGCCAAACCGTACCAAATGATGTCAACTACTGCAAACTAAAGCCACGTACCTCAGCTCACCTGAGCTGGCAGGGCTTCGGAAAACATAAATACTTTTTTGATACTATAATTGTAAACTATTAACTACCAGTTTTAGTAAAAAAGTCTACAAAACTTCTTGGTATCATGGGGCATAGGATGGTAGATGCAGGCAGTGCGGAGACACTCCCCTCCCCAATGGCAGCAAAATTAGTTCCTTTAAGCGGGTTCAAATACTAAAAAACTTTTCATTAGAATAGGGATTTAGTACCACATTCTGAAAATTAATTCCGCATTCTCTTTTTTCGAATCTCCCCCAGGCCAAAACCAGCCTACATTCCTGGGTATCTCACAGGATTTGAACCTGGAACTTTGGATTGATGAGGAAAGCACCATCCTTATTTAAATTAGAGAAACCAGCTTTCAACCACAAGCAAATATATGTCATTGCCTGAACTTGGTAGAAATCAGTGAATGAACAACAAAGTTACAATAAAATTAAGACCACCACCTTGGACTTCACCTATGGGCAGGATGTGGTTACATAAAACTTGAGAACTTTATGTAAAAAAATTGTTTTCATTAGTATTAACTACTTCTCAGTATTATTACTCAAATATAAATGTAATTGACAAATTATAGATAAATATCTTTAGGGCTACAAGCACAAAACCTAAACATTCACTTAGGAAAATATCCCAGTGGGTATTGATTTACAGTTGTGTTGTATCAAGTTGGGTAGGCCATACTGGGTTGGTTTGTTTTTTAACTGAAAGCAAGCTGAACTACCAATTAAATTTACAGCTACTATACTACAGGTAATTTTATGTCAATTTCTCACTGAATTTCTTGGTATTGATATTACATTGAAACAAGAAATAAAAACTTTTTCATTTATTCGTTCTGAAAGTAATCAATAGTAAAAACATTCAAGGATAAAAACACAGAAAAGTAAAAAAATTCTATGAACTTTATATTTAATATTGTAAATAGAATTATATAAGTTCAGTGTGGTTGAACAATATTATCTTCAAGTTGCTTTTTGGAAAAGTTCATTACGCGTACCAAAACCAAGGGGCGGATCCAGAGATGTCGGAAAGGGGAAGGACGATTGAGAAAAAACACTACCTTAGGAGGCCTGGGGGAATTCCCTGTGAATTTTGTTTTCTAGACACCCGCAAAGAACCACATATATATTCGTTTTCTTTTCTTTCTATACTTTTTTTTTCTTTCCAAAAGGGTTGGGAAGGGGGGAAAGTGAGCCCCTGGAAGCCTTTGCCATCGTGACACACTTACACTCCAATTTTTGGCAGAAAATATTAAACGAGAAAACATCTAGATTTTAATTACAGTCAAAAGGCCTAGGAAGTTTGAAGAAAATGAGACACAGGGCAAACAAACACTGTGCTCTTTGATATAAACAACATTAACTTGATGATTTATATTTAATATTGTAAATAGAATTATATAAGTTCAGTGTGGTTGAACAATATTATCTTCAAGTCGCTTTTTGGAAAAGTTCATTACGCGTACCAAAACCAAGGGGCGGATCCAGAGATGTCGGAAAGGGGAAGGACGATTGAGAAAAAACACTACCTTAGGAGGCCTGGGGGAATTCCCTGTGAATTTTGTTTTCTAGACACCCGCAAAGAACCACATATATATTCGTTTTCTTTTCTTTCTATACTTTTTTTTTCTTTCCAAAAGGGTTGGGAAGGGGGGAAAGTGAGCCCCTGGAAGCCTTTGCCATCGTGACACACTTACACTCCAATTTTTGGCAGAAAATATT